TTTCAAAGCAGATGCATATGTTTACCTTCACATGATCTGTCCTAACAAACTACTGCTCTGTTTATCTTTTACTCGTATACATTGTATACATATAGAATACAACACGGTGTATTCCGTATCGCCCGAGGTACCAGCCCGACCGCGCGTCGGATCGCCCGACGGCCGAAGGCCGGAGGGAGATCCAATCCGCGGGAGGGCTGGGACCGAGGGTGATGCGGAATACACCGTGTTGTATTTTATTTATGTCATACCCACCCAAGAAAACACGCCTTTCAATGCGAAATGAGCGAAAATTTGGCGTCCGTAAGCCCACTAAAACGCAACAACATCAATTCCAAATGTCCAAAGTTTGTACTCGAATTTTCGAAAGCGGTGCACACGGTTAGGGCGAAACGCGTTCGAATCTTTCTATGGAACATTTGGAAGGCCCGGGCCGTACGGGTTTAGAACCCCCAGGCCGTACGGATAGTTATCACACGGGCCGGAACACCCGTATCGAACGTAATCGCGGCCCAGGTAGGACATAAAGTATAATATACTGTATAATGTATATGGTGAGCAGCAGCCCCCAACTCTGTCCTGCTACATAATGTAACCCAACACCACAGGATGTCTGCTTCAGCACCAGTTACCATGGTGACAGACGTCTGGTCCAGGTCATTGACCTTATCATGGGTTTGGAGAAGAAGAAGAAACAGAGCAAAAACAGTATGTTTTCCTTCTGCAAAACTAAACATAAAAAGTTGATAGAAGTTCTCTTACCTTCCCAGTGACAAACATGTCTGTTCGTTTGACAGTCTTGTCCAGTATCTTGTCCTTGATGGCTCTCCCCACCTCTTCCTCATTCTCATAGGCAAAGGCAGTGTCAATGTGGCGGTACCCAGCACTGATGGCTGCCTTGGTGCACTCATAGGCAGTTTTCTGGGGAATAGGAAAGAAAGTTTGAATTATATGACAACTCAAGTGTAATTTTTATATAACCAGAAAAGTTAGAGTAAATAACTAGAAACATACTACAAACTACAAACGTAATCTGTGGGCATGTCCAACTAGAGTAAAATCACTTGCATACACATCACTGAGCAGAAGACCGAACCTAGAATACGCTGCGACAGTATGGGATCCATATACAAAGAAAGACAAAGACAAATTGGAAAGGGTACAGAATCAAGCTGCAAGATTCTGTATGAACAACTATGTAAGAGGTGCTAGTGTCACAGAAATGAAAAGAAACCTACAGTGGACCTCACTTGAAGACAGAAGAAAGATGTCTCGACTATGCATGATGTACAAAATGACTAATAAACTGGTGGATGTCCCAACTACTAAGTACCTAATACCAGCCCAGAAGAGAACAAGAAATAGCCACGCATTCAAGTACCAGAGTTATCAACCAAGGATTGAGGTGTTCAAGAATTCATTCTTTCCTAGAACTATCGCAGAGTGGAACTCACTGTCACCAAGTACAGTAGGGACACTGTCAATAGATAGCTTTAAACAATGTCTAGAGCTAGAAGTTCAAGGGTTAGGTGGAACAAGTCGATCGGTGTAATATAGCCAGCTGCCGCCGCGCCGCGTGCCTGCGAAGCTGGTGTGTTACGCCGAAAGGCGGTTATACCGGCTATACAGATACAGATACAGATACAGATATTTCTCAAATGAAGAGGATAATGACCTGATATACATATTAAAGAAATATGACACAAAGTGTACCTTTATACATACAGAAATATGGCTGAGATTGAGGCATTTTGAAGCTGAAAAAAATAGAAAGAAAGGAAGAATGAAAGAAAATAAAAAACAAAGAACAAATGATAGAGAGAAAGAAGGAAAAGTTACCGGAAAGAAAAACAGTGGATAAAGAAAGTGAGGATACAGATAAATTATGGAAAAAAGAAAACTAAGATTTTTACCTTATACTCCTCAGATTTCAGTGGCAGGAGTTTGCCACCCATGGTGTATGCATAGGGCACCTGAAAATGGAAAAATTTACAAAGTAACAATAAGTGTTAACTTGAGTTAGGAAACGACTCTTTACTACATGTACTAGGAAGTTGTATACATTCAAAATCATGATTATACAACTTAAAAATTTGGCATAGAAAAAAATGTTGTGTTTCCTGTTTCAGTCCTGAAAAAATGGAATTGGTACGTAGGAATTACTGTTTGTTGTTGTTTTATTTGTCTTTGTTTTATTATACTTTGGCGATCTCTGGCAATATTATAATACAGTTTAACAAAGTAAACAATGCATGTATGAGAACACTTAGACTTTACATTTTCATTATAGCAATGTTAGAAAACCAATTGTACGACGTTTCATCACTCAGGTATCAAATTATGGAGCTAGAAAAATTCAATCAGCTCGAAAAATTCATGTCTCTTGCAGGGGTCTACACAAAGAAAGTCTAGGGTTTGCAGTTTTTTTTTTTCTAGCGTTGGTCGGGAAACTGGAAACAAAATTTTCTAGGCCTTTCCCTGCTAACTCGTGGACATACCACCACGTGTTCCCTTCGCATCAATTTTCATAAAACGTTGGCAAAAACTGTCTTGAATACCAGATCTAAAAGCAAAATGTAAAGGATGTATTCCTATTGATAGTAAATACAAATGTAACGTTACATGTCGTGGAAAATAAAATGGCTGACATACGCAAGGTGACAATGACGTTTAAATACTTCAAAATTCCTTTGACTGAAACAAATTACCACATAAATTGACATGCAAGGCACAATATCGCAACATATGAAAGAAAAACTGGCTAAAACATATCCATAAACCAAAGGAACTACCTCACAACAACTAAAATGACTCTAGCCTTACATTTTTGCATGGCGGACAACAGAAAATGGGGGAGTGACCTTCGCAATCGAAGATTCGAGACACCCACAAAAATCGTGTTCACGTTTTTTCCCCCTCAGACTTACCCTCCAATATGTCCCAAGGCCCAGCATAGGCAGCCTGGCACCGGTGTACAACTTGATAGCCGAACTTGCTGCCATTTTCCTGCGAATTTCCGAGCTCAAAACTATCGAAATTCTAACTGCGCTTCTCCCGTCTCGCTCTCAGACGTAAACATGAACTTTTGGAAGTTTACAAACTCGTAGGGGTGTTTTGCATTTTCTATTTGAGTTTAAAAGCTTCTAGAATGTTAATCTATCATTGATAATCGTTTATATTGTTTTAGTAAGACTTTAATGGTTTGTATGTGTATAGGATTAAATTATTTAGTAAAGTTAGATGATGATAAAACGTAAAACTCTATGTTTATAGAATTATCTTCCCTGTAAAAATAATGGACGAGTCGACAGTCTATGTAACGTGATACCAACACGTGGAATGGAGCCAAGTCAAATATTTTTATAAAACCTACGGTTTAAAAACAGTTGGATGTCATCCAAAACAGTTTCTGTATGAATACTGAACAGACTAAACGTTCTAATGACAAATATTGGTGCTATATCAATGATTTGAAACTAAAATCAAATGATCTCATTTTGAAAATCCCGCCATATCTAGAGCAAGGTATGAGGCAATGCAACGTAATGCCAAGTCAATAATCTCATGTATAAGTTTTATTTCTTCTGAAAGGGTAATTTATTTAATACAATAACATTCTTGGTTGTAGCAACTATACGCATGATAGAAAAGATCCGTAGACATATTTGCATAGATGGCCAGATAACAAATTTCAGACTGGTTTGTATAAGGTAACGTTATAATGTTCCCCCTTTATAATTGACTTTCTTGTCAACCCTTGCACACCTACACCAAATTTTAATGTCTACTGTTTGCTTTAGTTTGTATCTTAAACCCGTCAACTATTATATGTATATCAGTAAGGTACATGAAATATCTAATGTACAGTCAATGGAACTGCAGTCAATTCATCCGACGGTCTAGCAACGACATCTTGCGATTTGTGACTGCATTCCAGGTTCTATCATCTATACCAATGTTCCTATTCACACCATATAATACACTTTTAATAGAAGGTCATGTAGTGTACAGTTGACGAAAGCAGAGAAAGCAGTTGTTTCACCTGACGGTCTAACAGAGACATCGTGCGGTTCATCATTGAATTGCAGTCACATACTGAGCAGTTACTGTGAATGTCCTTGTTATATTATTATTAGATCAACTATTAGTACTTGTTGTGTTTACTCGGTCTCTTGACGTGTGTATTATGGATGCTTCTTTTTGCTAGGCAGCGGAGTACATTGTATTTCTTTTTGCTTATAATTTCTGGGACACATCCTGCGCTTGCCTGAGGGTGAACCTGTTAGACTGTTCGCTCTCATGGCAGACGCAGACGAGGCCGGCAGCCTACCTCCTACTTTAAGTATGTGCAACAACCGCTGGGCGACCACTGTGGTCAACTGACAGAGAAGCAGATCGCCAACCTTGCTCACGACAAGGGGCAGTGGAGGGACCTTGCAGTCGCCTGCGCCGCAGCCGACCGATGATGATGATGATGCAATCTATATACATGTACATGTAAGAAACAGGAGGAGCTAGTAGAAACAGATAAAAACTCTCCTGGTCCTGCGCCCGGGTTCGAACCCACGACCTAACCCGAGCGCCAGTTCAGACTCCGACGCTCAAAACACTCGGCTAAAAGGTCTAGACCCCTCGGCCGAGTCAGTTGGCAGCGCCTATAAGCCCCCACTGTTACATACAGTCCGCAGGATCTGATGTCGCTATTGCTTGGTCGTTATTTAGTCTCCATCGGTTATTGCCACGTCGAACTGCTGAGCGGGAGACGCCTTACTGTCGGACAGGGAGGACGTAGATTGTAGCACTGACTTGGACTGTTCTCTCTTCTGAAATTACAACACAATATCTGCTTCAGAAACACTTATTGCCATTTCATCTACCTAGACATAAGAATAATAGGTGTTGAATTAAAGGAGTAAATTAGAAAGGTAACATTTGCAAAGCAAATGCGTAGTGTTTACCTTCGCACATGGTCTTCTCTGTTACTTCTTACTCTAACACATTCACATAATTATATAGTGACAGGAGTCTAAATCCCTCCTGCTATAAGATTGCAACATTATGCAACCTACAATACTTACCATGGTGACAGACGATCTGGTTAAGGTCATTGACCAGGTCAGTGTTTGGAGAAGAAGAAACAGAGCAAATACAATAGGTTTTTTTCTTCGGTAAACATAATTATCTAGTACTAGACTGTACCTTGTATCTTCTCTTGCCACACGGACTTTTAGCGAATAAAACCTGCACCAAAGTCACGACCAACGCCAGGCTAGCGGCGCCGGCAAGGATGAAGAACACCCCTGTACGAACAAGAAATATATCCTGGTCAAACAATAATTTAATGTATTATCAAGATTGTTTTTTTACCCCTTCTTCATAATGACTATCAAGCAGATAGAGATTCGGCTGTCTTAGGCATTCCTTCCTTTTTGTACTGGTGTCTTATTTGTCGAGTTGAGTATTGGATACCGTTCTGCCAATGATACTGTCTTTCCAATTTATACGAGACTACTGTTTTCTAACCACCAAAGAATATGCTTGTTTTTTTTAACCCTTGTCCTGCTTCGTCCATACATATATGGGTTGTACATACGCTGGCAATGCCATCCATACGCTGGCAGTGCCAACCATATAGGGCCTTGTGTACTTACAAAATTTCAGGGTGATTTCTCACATGAACGCAGCGAAACGCATTGAATATGGAAGTAATTTTGCCACAACAGCGAAAAAGAAGTCAAGGGTCTGTCACCTGATTAAGAAATCAAATTTTTGAAAAATATCGTCTAAAATGCCAACGGTTGCAGGACAAGGGTTAAAATACGGTCTCCTGGCCTCCCATTTCTATGTAATAAAGGAGGACTATTTACCACCTAAGGGAGAAGACAGGCCTATCCGTCATTTGAAGTGGCCCATGGGAGCACTTTACTTACCTTTACTTACATGTAGTTACCATACCAATAAATAATGGGCACCCTACTGGCAAAGTAAAACATTTGATCGCAACCAAAAAAAAATCAATATTGTGAAAAAAAAAAATGAATGCATCCATAAATCGAGAGAAATAAATGGAGAAATAATTAAAGGGTAAATTTTCAAAACGACGAATTCAAAGAAAAAAAAACAATTATGTCCATAAGAAAATTAAGAAACGCAAGACGTGTAACATACCTAAGAAGGTGTTGATTTTACCTAAGAAAGTGGGGATCGTGACTTGACTTTTCCCCCTCACGGCTGACCCTCCCCCGTACAGAGGGCACTTGTCTTCCGGCCACCACCTCTGCTTGATAGCCGAGAGGGCCCCTGTCTCTTGAAGGCGGAGAATACTACGGACACAGATGCCAAGACGTATTTAAAAAAGTTAAAAGTTGACCCTCCTCCGTACAGAGGGCACTTGTCTTCCGGCCACCACCGCTGCTTGATAGCCGAGAGGGCCCCTGTCTCTTGTAGGCGAAGAATACTACGGACACACAAGCCAAGATATATAAAAAAAAGATAAAGGTAGCTCCCCTCCAGTAAAGGTTGTAGGGGCAATGGGTTACCAATCCACTGTGTCTCGGGCACGGTGTTGGAAGGCGGGGCCCTACCCTCTCCTTTTTCTTCCACCAAATGTTACTGCTGCAATTCAGGTACCTATTTCATACCTTGCAAGCTTTGTGGAGGAAAGTCCTGTTAAGTGCCTTTCATAAGGACACGATGTTAACATCTTGCTAGGAAACGAACCCGAAACCTCTCGATCTCGTGTCCACTAGCCTATAACCACTCCGCCATTCGACGCTACTTATAAGAGGTATCTGTCATATAAAATAACAAATAGCTATTTATGCGTACAAAAACCTGTCTTGTGTATGTGTCAAATTCAAGGCATGCAATTCTACTGTCAAGAAATATGCTCGATGAGAGTAAAAGACTATTTTCTTTCCATACGACAAGATAGATGACACTCGGACAGTTTTTAAGTCGAGTACCTCTGGATTTTTATGCCAAACACCTTGCCGTCACGCCACACAACATCATCAGCAAGCTGAGAATTTCCTAGTTCATGTCACTTACCCGATGGACAGGGCCTTGCGGAGCGGGTCCCCCCGTCTAGTGGCCAGTCCGTACCCCTGGAACAGGAACGGCGCCCCGACCAGCATCAGCTCGCACTTCTCGTCGTTCAGAACCGCGTACTCCAGGAACGGCGTCTCCGCAAGCATCACGTAGTCACCCTTCTTCGTCTGGCATGGAAATCACAGTCAGTCAATTCTGACACACACACATACGAAAAACACACGTACATACACATACACATACACATGTCCCTCTCTCATCGTTCAGAACCGCGTACTCCAGGAACGGCGTCTCCGCAAGCATAACGTACTCACCCTTCTTCGTCTGGCATAGAAAACAGTCAGTCAGTTTGAATGATGTTCTCTCTCTCTCTCTCTCTCTCTCTCTCACACACACACACACACACACACACACACACACACACACACACGTCATGGAATACACTATCAGCCTGTCAGAATGATGTTCTCTCTCTCTCTCTCTCTCTCACACACACACACACACACACACACACACACACACACACACACACACACGCATATACACACACGCCAGCATCACTTAGTCACCCTTCTTCGTCTGACATGGAAACCAGTCAGTCAGTGGGTTAGTCAGTTTGAATGACTAACAGATGTTAGTACACATGTACTGTAGTTCAGTACCAAGGCTAGTACTGAGGGCCTCAGTAGTACTGGATACCATGGTGTGGGGACTCTCTCTCTCACACACACACACAAGCGCGCGCGGGCGCGCACACACACACATGCACACACACACACGTGCACACAGTACAAGAATCACTAGTACAGCGAGATGTTGTCTGTCTCACCTTAGCGACTCCATCGTGATATTATTCTCCACCAACCTGGCTTTTGCTTTTGAAAAAAATGCTCGTCTCTCTCCCTCTCTGTCTGTCTTTCTTTCTGTCTCTCTCTCTCGGAAGTGTTCATATGAGACACCGGTTGCTCAAATTTAGGTTGGTTACTGGTAAGGGACAAACTATGTGGACGTGTAAGTACAT